TTGTCTATGGTGACAAATAAATAAATCACAATAAACAGACAAACCACTTCAATGAACGGAATAGATTCTGAAAGCAGAGCCAGTTTCTCTGTCTGTCTCTTTATATAGTTTGGACACATTCAAATTGAAATGTTCCCCGCTGGGAGTATTTAAAATGTTGGCATTTAATGATCTAAGAGCTCTCCCTGGGGTGTAAAAGACTAGACCATCAACAATATATGCAAATGCTAAACCACTGAGAACTTCAAAGGCAAATAAATGGACGATTCTAAAAGACAGAGCATTTTTAATTACGTGGTCTTTCAAATGAAGCCCTCTTTGCTGATCTTATGAAAAGAGAAATATTTAAAAAGGTGGACTGGGAATAAAGTCTCATTCTTGCTAGAGGCCATTTCTTATGGGAAATGTTAATGCAATTAACTATATAATCCTAATTTACATCACAGAATCGAGACTATGTCCATATTTCTTTGTTTTAATCACTGTGGCCAAAAACTCGGTCCATCATTTTGCTGAGCTCCATTTTAAAAAGCCTTTTCAGCAATAAAGTTTGAGAAAATTACTTTCAAACTATTCAGTTATGGCATAAGGACGTATCAGATTATTTGCAGTAAGATCATCAGACTTGGTAGGGAAACGCAGTAGTTCATATCATAATCTTTTTAAAGGTGCTGTAAGCATTTTTTTTAAATACCATACATAAAATGTCCTTACCATCTGACAGAAATCATAGAAATAGATGTCCTAAGAAATCACTCCTGTTTCTGTGACAGCCCTGGGGTCTGTAAACAGAAGGAAAAAAAGGAAAAACATCAAGGCAATCATAAATGCTTTCTGCATGTAAATCATTTTGCAGGTTTGCTGATATGAGTTCGGTGAGAAGGAAGTTAGTGAAATGTTAACATTTCTTACAGCACCTTTAAAAGTTTAAATTAACTTTCAAGTGATTAAATGTCCACAAAGAGATCAAATTGTGCCTTGTAATAGCCCACTGTGCCTGTCAGACTGTCAATGGATTTTCATTGGGATCAGGTAGAGCTCAGACTGTCACTCTGCTATAGACACATTAAACTAATTCTCAGCATTCACAGAAAGACTCAGTCTGGCTCAATATTGTGCTGTCAATCATGTCAAGAACTGACTGTAAAGCTGAAAGGTGCCATTTTTTCAATCTTAAAATTATTTCTCTATGCAAAACCGCTATAATTAAGACATTTGTAGGTAGATTTCCCTAAAAAGTGCACTGTGGCAATTTTCATTTACATTTACAGTATGTATCTATGCACTGCATTTATTATACTTTTTATCAGTTCTGCCTTCCCTGGAAATTGACTCCATGACCTTGGAGTTGCAAGTGCCATTTTCATCTACAGGAATTTCTTAAACCATCATTATAAATAAATTATTTTCAATTAAAATTAATTAATTTACAATAATTACTTAAAAATCATACATTATCATAAATTACACAATAAATATATTTAATGCAATTGTACTGCCTTTCAATGTAAAAACTTAAAAGGAAGCACAATAACAGTACAGTTTTACTGATGGTAGCATGGCAGAATTTACTGAAGCAGTGGGATTTACTTGTATTCACATTCACACAGGTGAACAGCTTGTAAACTCAAATGAGAAGTGTTCCATACCTGCTAATCTTCCTATTGTATCTATCAAGGTAAAAGCTGCTATTGCTCATCTACTTCAAAGCAATACAGCTTCAATAAGGCTATGTTCAGCGATTATACCTAAAAGCATGTTTCAAGAGTAAATTTACATTAATATGATATTAAATGCACTTGAAGCCATTTAGTCTCATGGTTCATGAAAGACCTGTGAGCAAGTATCTCACCTCGTTCCATCTCAATAAACATGCAGGAGATGAAGCAGCCCTAATAATCATGCCACTCAGCCCATGTTCAACTAAAGGCCTGCCTCACCCTGGGGTCTGTTCCTGCATAAGAATGTCACTCAGAGAGGACACATGTGCTTGTCTTTTATTGATCCGTGCTGTAGGTTGGCTGTCCTGATGTGAATCCTGTCATCATGTTGCTTAGAAAGGATTCGGAGGGATGTACAAGCTTGTGGGGAGGTGATTTCAATTCCGAAGGGATGTAAAGGCAGGGAGTGACTGATACAAAAAAAAAACGGCCTGGGACCTATGACAGCCCATCACAACCCGCGGAGGAAGAAATCGCCCAATGCACTAGTAGATAAATAACGAAGCTATTTCTTTTGGTCTGAAATCACAGCTTTTACATTAGACTGGCAGTACGATTACATTACAAAGTTAATACAAACCTAAATAATATATAATGTAATTTGTGTTTTGCTTGCTTCATGAGTGTTTCTGCATTATATGAGTGGCTTTGGAATATAAATCGCAGCACGTTTCAGATGAAAAAACGCGACTTCTATTTCTGAAAATATCACAGTTAGGAGATTTATAACGAGTGGTTCCCTGCATTATTACAGTGCGTGATTACAGAAATAAGCCTCTGCAATGGAGCTGCTCTAATGCTATTAAAGGGGTCATATGATGCGATTTCAAGTTTTCCTTTCTCTTTGGTGTGTTACAAGCTGATTGTGCATAGATAAGATCCCTGATGTTGCAAAGACTAAAGTCTCAAAACCAAAGAGATATTCTTTATCAAAGTTAAGACTCTGCCACGCCTA